TGAGTAAATGCCTGGCAACAATGACCCACCGTCGCATCAGGCAGCACTATTCCAAATCTGGAAGAAACTTTTAAGAAAATCATCTTCTCCCTAATAGTATTCTCTTCGTACGCAGATTACGTCTTTTCGTTGGTTTTCGACACCTTTCAGGAATAATAGGAAGAAACAGTTAATCCAGAGCATATAGGAGTTAAATTCCAAATTCCAAATGTTAGCGCCAATACGGATCCAGGATGACTTTTGGCGAATCAAATTCGAATTTGTTGATATTGACCAATTCTCCGAACACTGGTAATTTATGAGCTTCACTTGTTTCGGGGACACTACACATTTGATCCCGACACAAAACAACACAACTAGCAACACTAAGTTAAAGGAAACTTGTATACAGCTGATCGGAATATAATGAAATCTACTTGCATTTCGTTCGAAGGTTAGTTGTATCTAACAAATGATACGAACTCGTTAATAGTGGCAGTATCTATATGCTATCCTACGAACTTATTGACTTACGTATTACATTTTATTTAAATGCTAATGTAAAACTACGTTCTCTCTATTAAGTGAGTGAACAGTGCACGCGATTGGGAACCTATTCTAATAATGACACGAGTAAAATACTCTTTCACCTTAGGTTTCACATAGCTATACATATGGTTGAAGACTTGTCGATTTTATAAAAAAGTTGAAACTCAACAACAAGCCTATCCATCCTTCGTGGACGCATTGATGTGATTATTTTTTATGATTTGCGATGCAATAATAGTAAGCAGAACAAGTGATTACAGAGAAGCTGTGCAGGGGAAAAGGATTGTTTAATACTGCTAACGAATACTGCAAAATCTGATTTATTTTGAAATCGGTCTTGCGAGTTCTCCGAAGCGAAAATTAGAGTTTTGACATTAGCATCTTCAGTGAACGGCCTCAAAAAACTTGCTGAAAGGCATTTGTTGCACGATAAATGCAAATCTAAATGGTATGACCTTCGAATATGCTGCAAGTAATGATCTAGTAATGATCACAATACTACTTATAAAAAATTAGCAAACTACGATTGTCATGCGGCTTGTCTTGAAATTTGAGCACTGACAAATATAAATAAGACGGCGTCACTGACCAACATTCGATAGTAATTTTTGAAAAAGTTCAAAAACCGAAAACCGAAAAACAATAAATGGGTGAAAACAAGTCAAAACACTTTTGTGAACCACAACTCATCATTAAATACCATACATTAGTTCACTTAGTACAGTTACTCATGTAAAATAAGGCGTTATATGTGAAGTGGCCCGAACAGGTTTAAATAGCATTCGTCCTTGCACCAAAATACATCACACAAGAATAAAAGATGGACAGACAAGCTTACGTCGATTCCATGAAAGGTGGATCTATCTCAAGCCCTTCTACGTTTTGCATACATCCGCATAAACTTAATATATTCTTTTATCACAAGCGAGGTAGGGTGTAATTAGTGGTCATCCTCAACAAAAAAATTGTTGGTATTATGACAAAGTTTCTGTACCCTTCCCCGTCAGGCAAATCGAGAATAATTGTGATTGTTCATTGACCAGAAGCATTTATGTGACTTAAATACAAAAATTTAAACTTTAACCAGACGCTGTCTCGTAACACTTTCATGTAAACACACTTCCATTGCTCGTACATTTTTTGTGCTACAGTGGCTTTTGCGCTGATTAGTCCTAAACAGCAGTTAAATGTGCAGGAATTTAAAAGCATATTGCATGGGCGATGATGTCGGCGTCGTAAGAAAGTGGAAAAAAATTGGCCACACCTACCCGATATTACATGGTACCAAAATTTAAGTTGTTTCCTAATATCTTCAGAACACGTAGAAACAAGCTATAAAAACCCCATAAAATATATAAAGTCGTGGCCAGATTCAATTTTCGAATGCACCTAAACGTATCCGTCTGCCCGTCCGCCCAAAATAATGTTATCGCTTACAAATTCGCTAAAGATTTTTAAATTACCATTAATGATTATACGACAAGAACTCTTATTTTGAAAATAGAAAAAAATCAGCCGCTCCCACTGCATCTCATAGAGTATGAAAATGTAGTTCTTTCGCTGTTTTTTGCCTTCTTTAGGATAATGGTAATGATGGGTAGAAAAGATTCCGACACAACCAAACATAATTTTCACTTTGAAAAAAAAAGAAGAAAAATCCGCTTAATATTAGTTACTCACCTTTTTAAGTTTCCATACATCTCCAGTTTAGCAGTCAAACGTAAGATACGTTAATATATTTCAAGTACAAAAGTACGTGAAAATTTTTTGCGTAATTCTAATTAAGGTCATCTACGCATTATCTTTATAGGTTGTGTGAGAGAACCCCTTGGCTTTATGGAATAATAAAATGAATGTATTTTTCATCAGTAAGAATGAAAAAAAATGTAATCATTACATATTGAACAAAAGATTCGTTTGTTTGGATTGCTTAAGAGAATCTAAATTTTTCAACTTTCGGCATAACACACTTGACGATCAATGATTTATAAATCTGATTGAATTGAATATCATTCGTTGCTTGAACAAAACAAAACAAAAACCAAAAATTCAGGAATCAATTATATCAGAAAAGCATAAGCATAAGCAATCATACGAGAGTGTGTAGTAAAAGAGAATCTGACGTTTATTAGTTTCGCTGTTCGATGTGAAGTTTCAATTGTTTGCAAATTGAACGATTGAAGACAACAAATTTATAAAAAAATCACTGCCGATGAGATATACCAGTGTGATCAAAAAGTAGCAAGACCGAAAAGCAAGCTAAACTTGCTTTTGCTTATATCAAGAGCGCATCCTAAACGATTTTTGTTTCACATTTTGCAGCAATATTCCCAACGATTCAAATTCATATCTCAATTTGGTCTTAGCTCCTCAATCGAGTCGAAATGATGCTTTTGCGAAAGCAAAACTCTTTGAGTTTCAAGAATACGCACGAATTAAATTTAGTGAGTGAAAATTTTTTGAAGCTCAAATGGTCTTTCACATCGCACGTGGGGACGTCAAAAAGACACTACGACTTTCTTGTTAGGGAGTGCATTATTAGAATCGTCGAGAATAACAATCACTGGCCATTACCGTAGAATAAGTCTGCGCTCTTGGCCTACGTTTTATAAAGTGCACAAAATAGAAATTTCTTTAATTACCGTAAGAATTTGAGTCAATTTAGTTATGTGGAGTCGCGCGTCGTCGTTTGCTGAAAAGGTATACACTTCTCATTGACAAGAAATGCTAAGGAAAATCCTAAAATATATGTAAATTTCTTTACGACAACATATTATAAATATATGCCGGGGCCGGGGTGAAGGTGGTCTATGTAAAATGGCGCCGACCTGCTAACATCATAATTCACACTGCTTTGCAATGGTATGGTGATTAAGGTTGTCTTTTCAGTTGTTTCCAAATTTTGAACTTTCTAGTAAATTTTAGCCGCGTAAAGGATTTCCATAATAAATAGATCACGGTAAACCAATGAAAAAATGCTTCTATTTAAGATTTGGAATGCGTTCTTGTCGAAATTGTGCATGAAATCTACAAATTTGCATATCATCTGGCTATGGTTATGGAAACATCGTTCATGACTAGTGTTTAATCAGAGCAACGCAAAAGCATGGAAACCAATGTAAACATATTAAATTTCACTCAATCATCTCACAAAGTATTATTCGTATTTTGATTGCTTGATAATCACAAATTGATTGATTCATACATTACGAACAGATTGTTATAATGTATGAATAAAATGTGAATTTTCTTCTACTATTCAACTTTATATACTTTTCATTAAATTTGAACGTAAACGTTAAACTCGGAGAATTGCTTCACAAGATGGAAAAACAAATATTTTATAAGAATTTCAAGTGTCAGAATTATGGAACATTCCGATTGCATAACAGCGCACAGAAAGCTTTAATTTTTTCTTTTGCATTCCATTTAGGTCAAGGATTCACGGATTGTTACTTAATAAACGAAAAGTTCCTATAAAATTTCATTTCGCACATATGAAGAGAATCTGTGCAAAGCTTAAACAACATCTGCAAAGATTGTGTAACAACTAGCGGCCGGATATGTTGTAAATTCTTGTAATCCATGTAATAAATATGTGATGAAATGATCAATGAATATGTATATATATATATACATATATATATATATATACAATACGTGAATAAGCTTCGTAGCCTATGCGGATTTTATGAAGAACGAATTCATCATTAATTTTGAATTTGAAGAAAAATTTCATTTATTATAAGTAAAGTGCATTAGTATGAAGTATGATGAATATTTCAATTTGAATATCATGTTACTCATACGCACCCCCGTAAAAGTTTAAGACAGGTTTGCAAAGCAATAGACTCAAGAGAAAAAGCTTCGCGCAAACGATAAAAACAGAAATGCTGAACCGGCCGAAAGAGAGAGCGGGAGAGAGATAACTTTGTAAGCCGGAGAGAAAAGCACATTAACTCGCAAAGTTGTGAACATTTTTAAGATGAAATGAGTAAAAAAAACTTAGAAAATCAAATACGATTAACAGCTGAGAAATGTATAGAATAGAAGAGAAAAAATGTTTTTGCTCTGCCTTTCTTTTCCTTTTTTTTATTTATTTATTTAGTTTTATTTTTATTTATTTATTTATTCACTTCTTTCCTTTAATAGTATATATGGTTATAAACTAAAATAAATACAAACCATACAATAACATCTATGTACTTATATGTATATATATAAAAGCCTGACGTCTTCTAGAGGGTAACAGACAAATTGCAAAATCAGTTGTGCAAAGAGAGAGCAACGACGCGACATTCAGTTTGGAAGACGAGACGAGAAACGTTTTATGTTTACTTACAATTACAGCAAATTAGCTGTGTGCGTAAATTATTGGAATAAAAAATTTAAAAAAAAATAATAATAATAATAATAATAATAATAAATAAACAATTTTTCCAAAAAAAAAAAAAAAAAAAAATAAAAAAAAAATTATGAAATTCTTTTCTATCTAATATCATCAAATAAATTTCCAAGCATTTTTACAAACGAGTAAAACTTAAGCAAACGTGTTGCAATACAATAGCGTAGGAAAAATTCCTTGAAAACTTTTTTTCTAATTGTCTTTATTTGCTATTTGACTTATACAGTGAAACCGAAAGTGCAATAAACTAAAGTTACCTTTTGTATTTTTAAACTTTTCTGCCTTAAGAGCGCAAAGAAAGTAAAAAAATAAGAAAAAAAAATATTAAGTAAATAAAATATATCAAAAACCAACAACGACGACAACGTTAACAACAACAGCCTAGCCCTAAACGAATTTCTTTTATAAATAACAACAATTTATTTATAAGGTGAGCAAGCGTGCATGAGTAAGTGAATGGACTGCGTTCATACACAAACATACATACAAACCGATATATTTAATACATGTGATTATTTTCTTCTTTCTTCCCCTCCGGCCTAGAATATGTGCTAAGCAGAAATCTCCTCCATAGGATTATGATTAATATAAAAAATAAATAAATAAATGAATGAATAAATTAAATATCTATGATATAAGTGGAAGCTTTTTCGTTTTTTCTGCCATCCATTATTGTCTTAAATGAAATATGACGTAACAGGCCGATATACTTATGCTTGTACGTCATACAATACTACACTACTGGATATAGTATTACTCATGGCTTTGCTATAATTACATTATAATTTTACTTTTCTTTTTGCTTGAATAATTTCACAATATTGTCTCTTATATGTATATATATCGTCATATGACAATAATTGATAAAACAGCAAAAAAAAATCCGTGTATTTTTTCCGAAAAAATCTTTTGAACTTGAAAGAGCAACATTTTATAGAATAATTTTTAACTTATGAGTAATAAGAGGTTTGCACTCTACAACACGCCAATCCGTATAACCATCAATTAACCATCAACCTATCATAAATGTTTTCCATTAATATATTCGTTTACTTTTGCATTCAGTTGAAAGCAGTAAACAAACACACGTAACATACGAGGATTGCCTTGGTAAGAAAGTAAAAGAAAAATCAAACATAATCAAATGTTATTGGTTTGCTTGATTATCGACTTGCTCAATCTTTCTGCTTATGTAACGCGAATTGCTTATCTATCTATGCTGGAATAAGTGCGAAAGGAGAGTCTATTAACTTGTCGTTTTTGATACTCAAGAAGCTAAGTTGTACTGGCTTCTTTTGGGTTACACTTGGGATTATCATGACGGAGAGAGTGATATCATGTCAAGCGTTATTTTTGCTCTTTTCTCTAATGACAACCGGCAAATAAGTCGCTTTAGATTGAAACGTTGTAAAATTTCGCGAACAAGAAGCCAACCATACATTTGCAGGTGCTTCGAAACGCTAATAGCTTTCTTTTACCTAAACATCTCTTGGCTAGTTCCGCACAAAACTTCGGTGTAACCGCAGCCACTACTACACTCCCCAACGAGCCGTATCTGACAGTTAAGTAAAAAGGCATTCGGCCCGATACTCCGATGGGTAGTGCATTTTCGTACCAGGAGCAATCATAGTTTTGGGCAATATGACCCCCCTGGACACTCATTAACTCCATGACTTATCGGTCTATTATAGAATTTACGCCATGCTATACAGTTTTGGGTGATCTCTTACTGTATGCAGCCTGAGTCACTCTTTCCTTTGGACCACATCATATGACCCGGAAGGTCATCCAAACACCATCTTTTCTCAAGGGGATAATACTTTCAAAGGTGTCATCACACAGCACACACCGAACTTTGCCACAGCGCTCTTGAATATCGCTGACCATCAAAACTTGAGTAAGTTTCATGACCTCCATAAAAGAGAACCAAAAGGCAGAAGAAAAATGCTCTTTTTCCATTGGAAGTAAAGTTTAAACACTTCTTTGCCGTTGACTATGCGACTCTCCATATAAGCGACAGTCAACGTTTCGAGGGAGCACCACGATAAGGTGAGGGTTTCGATATGGCTATGATCACGCAAAAGGGTCCCATAGATCCGCTTCCCAGATCAGATTACATATAGGTATTGCCTTGCAGAAACCGTATTGACAGTTCACATTAAATGCAACTGAGAATAAGTGGCAGTATTCACTTCCTGAAGTCGCCAAAAAGATTTCACCGAACTATTGCATTCAAGTTAAATCGGATTCAATTGCGCCGTCTATGCGCCCGACTATTTATGCAAAAGATAGCTCAGTTGTAAAGCCATTTATTGAGTGTAAGAACGATTAGTCTATGAATTTTCCGGTTTCAGCGGATTCTTGGGTGGGAATTTTTCCAAAAATCTTCGTCTTGTAATATAGCAGAACTACAGTATATAGTATTTTCTCAAGCGGAAAACTAGAACTAATTGGTTCGCCTGGTACATAATTAGCAAAACTATTCCAAAGTCGAGGCAATAAGTGTAGAAGGCATTGCTATTCACACGAAGTACGGACGGAATTACTTTTCACGCAACACTTAAAGCCAGTCTGACAATCGACTCACATATCTGGCGCAATTTTAATGTTCAATGTAAAATAGAGAGAGGGAGGGAACGATTTATGAAAAATTTTTCAGTTCAGAGTTTCGATAATGCTTACGGTATACACACACACACACACACACACACACACACACACACACACACACACA